TGACCACATTATTCATAACCTTTTTTTCTTGTACAAAACTGTAAAGTTCATGCAACAGCACTTTTCAATAATATGAATAAAAAGACAATCAACCTTATATGAATTAATACTTTCAGACACCCTTGTTTACAAGGTACAAAATATTATCATGCAAAAAATGCTATGTGTGTTTACACTGGCATTCCTAAACGAGCAGGCATTCCCCATCACACAGGGCACTGAGTAGCAGGCATCGGTACGTCAGGCCTGTTCGTCAAGGGCATGCTCACAGAAGGAGCTTTATTGCTTTAAGGTGTCGAGGCAGTGCCGGGACTCACATCAATGTCAGTCTCGGGTATGACCTCTATTCACAAGCAGTCTTGAGGGCTTCAGGCCACGCAGCTGAAGGGGACCTTCTGTCCCTTCGTCCAACTCTTTACCCACACTGTCTTAAAAGAGACGAAGGTCTGACCTCGAAACAAACCGTTCCACAATAAACAACCTCATTTCCCAGCTTTTTATAGAAATATGAATGCACAGTGTTAGGAAGTAAGGTGCTGATGATTAGGAGTAGATAGTTTAGATTGTTGTTTTACATAGACAAGTGACCTGAAACCAGTCTCATTGTATGGCAGGATCAGTAAATCTGGGATGTCCGGTGCTAATCTTTTGACCCAGGATGCCCTTTCAGGACAATCTCCACTGCCTGTTTACCAATGGATGGGACTTAATTAACTCAGACCAAAAACCCCGCTGTTAAGCTGGTACACCAAGTTAGAAAGCAGGGGATTTGATAAAAGGCGATGTGTCATCGGCTGATCCCTTAGGCTGTGATTTTACGGCCGGCCCGTGGTGGAATTCTGATCGAAATACAGTGTACTGAATATATTTGGCATTAAATACTGAGACTGAGTGGATGTTTTGATTGTTTGAATTAAAGGGTTCCAGTGAGGTAAGAGGGAAAATAACAACATCCAAACCCAAAATCAATACTAAACAGAATGACGTATAAGTTAGCCAAAACAAAAACCCACCAGGAGTCCCCTTATGACCAGCACTAGTGGTGGAATAATAGTTTCAAGAATGGAGAGAATTCCCCAACAGGCTCCTGAGCAAAAGCTATTCGTGTTTAAGTGCACTACATTGACAAAGATCTTTGGTAGTGAAAAGCTCCTTTGGGAGCAATGGGTGGTATGTTTCTGATGGAAGACGAACTTGTTTAGCTAAGGAGACATTATAATATTTATACTGCCTTTGAGTTCTGATGATTGATGCTGAACGGGAATGCTCGGATGTTTCATTATATGCTTTTTGTTGGTTATTTTTAAGATATTTAAATAAAACAGTGTGGCATAATCACCAATATTTTGTTTTTTGTTTCATTCAATGTGAATGGATTTTTCTTAACTAGATGAATGAGAATACTAAAAAACTGCAAGTGTATGTTTTTTCAGGTGTTTCATTAGCAACAACTAATACACATACTCTAAAATGTAATCATATTTTTTGTCACCTATTTTTAAAATGTGCTAAATATGGGATTGTGACAATTTTGTTTCAGAAATGCAATTATGAAATATTTATTGATTTTTAAAGATCTTTAGAGATCACATAATTGCATCGGCAATTGAAATAATTTTAATAGGACGACGCATGCAATCTGCAATTATCACATTTTTTATTTGAGAAATCTAATACAGTTGAAGTCGGAATTATTAAACCTCCTGAATTAATAGCCCCCATGTTTATTTTCCCCTAATTTCTCTTTAACAGAGATTTTTTTTTTACTTTTCTAAACATAATGGTTTTAACAATTCATTTCTAATAATCGATTTATTTTGCCATGATGACAGTAAATAATATTTGACAAGATATTTTTGAAGACACTTCTATACAGCTTAAAGTGACATTTAAAGTCTTAACTAGGTTAATTAGGTTAACTAGGCAGGTTAGGGTAATTAGGCAAGTTATTGAATAATGATGATTTGTTTTGTAGACTATCGGGGAAAAAAAAATTATATTTATTTATATATAATTTTATAGTATTAAAGTACTGAACTTAATTTTTTAACTGCTTTTATTTTAGCCAAAATAAAACAAATAAGACTTTCTCCAGAAGAATAAATATTATCAGACATACTGTGACAATTTCTTTGCTCTGTTAAACATCATTTAGAAATTAAAAAAAAAAGAAAAAAATATATTTCAAAGGGGGTTTCAATATTCTGATTTTAACAATATATATGCTTATGTATTATTGTATTATTAATGAATTGTTTTTAATTGATTCCAATATAAAATACTTGCAGTCTACAGATTTATCTTTTCCAAAAAATGAATTAGAAAATATTAATAGAAATACTCCAAAATTCTTTAAATAGAAAAATGCACACAATATGCCATACTTGCCAACATAATCAACTTTTCTAATTTCAAATGGCATGATCACAACTCCACAAATAACATTTATACAGACAGACAATGTTAAATAAGAACCAGCTTTGCTCTATCATCTCTCTATAACACTCCTCAAGCTCTGGCAGACATCCAGGTGTCTGAGACCCTGATCTGATCTCCAACATTTGGTCTTGGCCTGTGCCTGGGCTCTGACAGCCTCAGTTGGCAGTGGTATCTGTAGCCAAATCACCTCAGGCCTTTCCCCATTAGAATACATAATGCAGAACTAGTCATTTGGAAGGGCTCCAGATCGTGCTCTTCAAAACCCTTTTAGATAATTTGCCGTCTTACTGTTCATCCACACCCACAATTCTTCACCCCATCCGCGGCCAACTGACCCCCACCAACCGTCCCCGCCAATCTGGTGGCCTCGACTGGTGCCCTGACCTCAGGGGCAAGAGTCCCAGCTGAGGAGGAAGGGCAGCTGCCAACCAGCACCACTTCAATATTGACCATCCAGATGATCGCATTTGTCAAGCCGCCACTCCGTGTCACCCACAACCAGTTTGATCATCCAATTAGGCTAGGTCACGGTCTGTAGTCTCTCCCAGTACACAAAATGCTAAAAGATTATGAAGTAAAGAACAAGAGGCTGAAAGTATATTTAAGTGTACAATAGATACATTTGTTTAAATATTTAAAGTTTGGAGAACATCCATTGAAAAGAACTGAAACAAATTATTTTGTTTAACAATTAAGTTGTTTTACAAATAATCCATATTCTTCGAGAAAATTAAGTGAGAGGTCATTTTGAATGCTCTTAATTATTAGTATCACAAACATATCTGTGGCCAAAACTGTCACTATGTTTCGTTCCTCAAAATTAATTTCTCTTTCTATTCCCTACATTATATAATAGTTTACCCCAAAGGCAATATTTTCTAACCATTAACTCACATTCATGTGGTTCTAAACATTTATGAATGTCTTTCTTCTGTTGAAAACCAAATAAGATATTGTTAAGAATGTTGAAAACCAACAGCCATTCACATATGGTAGAAATGAAAAAATGCTATGGAAGTCAATGGCTGCTGCTCACCAACTTTCGTCAAAATATCTTCTTTAGTATCAACAAAAGACAGAAATTCAAAATAGATTTGGAACAAGTAGAGGATGGGCAAATGTTTACAGAGATTTAATTTTACTATGGAAGTCAAAGGCAACTGCTTTCCACCATTCTTCAAAATATCTTCTTTAGTGTCAACAAATGACAGAAATTTAAAACAGATTTGGAACAAGTAGAGGATGGGCAAATGTTAACAGAAATTTCATTTCTAGGTGAACTAATCCCCTTTTAATACTTTATTTAATATTGTATGTTTATAATATTGCTGCGGGAAGTTTATTTTTAAGTTTTTGCTGTTATTTGTGGGCTAATGAGTCTTTTATTCATTATAATAAGTTGCCTATTAATATTCAATGGATGAACTTTTCAAAATTTTTCAAAATATCTTCTTTTGTGTCAACAAAATAAGGAAACAAACTGATTTGAAGCTAGAATGAGCAAATGATTACAAAGATTTCTATCGATCCCTATTTCTATATTCTTACTATTCCTTTAATAATTATTTTATTGCTATGGAAAGATTTATTAATTTTGTGGCTAATTATGGTCTAATGAGAGTCTATATATTCTTTTATTAAGCTGCTTTTTAATAATAAATAGATAAACTTTGAGGAGATAAATGACATATCACTGTACCCAGTGTTTACAAAATTTCACTGATTGTTTACAGTTTAACAGAAGTTAATCCCATGATTCATTCAAAACATCACAGGACGTGGGAAAAACTTGGAAACATACTCGTTCTAATTTGTAATGGAAACTAAATAACATTTATATAAAGTTGTTGCAGGTTTTAAGTCTGGATTAACAAAACCCCCAGTGGTTTTCAAATGACCAATTGTGCCCTTTTTTAAGTATTAGTCAACTTAACACTCAACTTTAAGTGGCTGACCTTTCAACAGGCGGATAATACAATAGCAATTATGATGTGGGCAGCTGAAGTGCTCAGAGAGGCTTTGTGTAATGGCAGTCATGACCTCACTGTTGTTGAGGGTTCAGGTAAGAGGTTGTGGGGTTTAGAGCAACATACAAAAACACCCAAGATGAACTTGCAGATGTTCATCTAGAGACTAGTGACTTAAGCTGAATAAAAAACAGTAATGCTCACCAGAGCTTAACTTATTGTTTGACAATTTGTAAACAATAATTTTACAGTTTAAATTCTCTTCTGGTACACAAACATCAACTATACTGTTTAATTAACTATCCAATGGTAGTTTAATAAGTAGCAAATTATGTGCCACAAAATCCATAAAAAAGTATTAAAAGATAAATGTTTAAGTAAAAGATGCATCGTTTTAATAATTTATTTATTATTATACAGAAGAAAAAATGTTGTGGTGTTTGACCATAGACTGTAAAATAGTGTTTGACCCAGAAAGTGTAGTCCCCCCCAGCCAGATACACACATACACATTATGATGGTAGTACTTTGCCATTTGCTTTCATATGCATTACACTGCATACACAGTTCACAGTTAATGAAAACCAGCAATAATGAAAGTAATAAGTTCCTGTTTATTTCAACAAATTAAATGAAACACTGAATCATTTGTAAATGCTGCTACAGTTAATGTTGGTGGTTTCAACTTTTTACATGCAGTGGACCCTTACATGAGATCAACCATGCCTAATATAATATATGTTATCGCAATTTATTCTGAATTATCTTATATTTATTATGCTATATATTATGAATTATATACTGCAAAACAATTATTTACTATTAAGTTACTACATTTAACAACAAGTAACTACATTTTTCTGCTCATTACAATACTCATACATAATATTTATATTTCTCTCTATAAATATTTTAACTAATTTTTATTATTTGTTTTAATATAATTAGTATGTTAATCACTTTTTTTAATTAAAGTTTGTATAATTTATTTGAATAATGTTTAGTCACATTTTTGTGCTATTAATTTTATATAACAGCAAGCTATTTGAATCCAATTACTATTTTATATTAATGTGTTTAACTTATTAAAATAATTGGAAAATGATATTGTTTAAATCATTAATTACAGAATTTGTTTTCAAACAATTCCAGAAAACCTAGCACTTTCTCTCTAGTATAAAATCCTGATTTGACGACACGCAGCTGAAATAAACAACAAAAAAGTCTAACTTGAGTATTAAAAACTGTATTGCTCATTTTGTTCCTACAGTACTTCAATCATAATGCATGAACATTACCTCGTAACCATTGTAAAGTGCTACAGTTATGATCTAACATGTCATCATAACAAACACAAATCAACTACACACCTCAAAAAGTTATGTCATCAAGGTTTGGGTCGAGGTGGTTTACCCCTGCACTGTGCAGGTGAAGGATCTTGCTGTGCTGTTTTCAGTCTCTGTTGCTTTAACTTTTTCTCAGATTCGCTTAAAGGTGGTTGTCCTTTCCCAAGCAAATACTGCTCCCATTCTGGCAGATTCCTTTCAACTGAGGCCCAATACCGAGTCTATGACAGCACAACAAATAATTAAGAGCAGTTCATTTGTCAATTTTCATATTTGTATTAAATTTTAACATCAACAGCTGCACCTCTAGGCATGCAAAATGTATTTCAAAAGTGCAACATTTACAATAAATATAAAACACTACAACAGTTTTATTTTATGAGACTGTATACTATATTATATTATAATATTTTTAATAAAGGAAATAGCCCAATACTTTACCTCAAGGCTAATAATATTTGGATGAAGGAGCTGTCTAGTTTGAAGATTTTTTTCAACATTTTCTAAATCCTGCAAATGAAATATACACAAATACATATGTAAAAAAAATAAACACAAAATGCATTTTAAACATACAGAAATCATTTTTTAGTTTGTCTCAGAACCATGAAGGCTAATTCAGTTATTTAAAAAATGCCCTGCAATTTAAAAAAGTGTTTCTAAAATAAGTATATCAAGCTGAAAAGTAACAGAGAGAAATTAATTTTTTATACTACAAATACAGTTAATTTAAAAAAAAAAGAAAAAAAATCAACTCTTTGGTGATAGACATGGGATGGTAACTGTTTTCAAGGTATACCACGGTTTGGAAAAGTCAAGGTTTTAAAACTGTTAAAATATTCTGCTATACCGTTCATACAGGATGTATATGTTATATTTAGCCTAACATGTTTACCGGTCTATAATATATTAAATGTTTCTCAAAATAAAATAAATTGTGTTCAAAGGGGAAAAACGTTTACGTTTTTTACCAAGACATTTAAAAATAATATATTTTACAGCAGTAACTACAATACCATGAAACCGTGATATTTTAACCAATGTTATCATGGAGAGGGTTGGGGCAAATGACTTTAACACTGAGAGCATCATTTTTAATTTGTCGTAATCTTTTTTGTTTGTTTTATTGATGAGATATGTTGCTTTACTATAATAAGTTAATTAAAAAATGTAACAATATTGTATTGTGTAGTATAAATATTGTAGAAAATATTGTATTAGTTGATATAAAGTAATGTTTTCTAGTAATTTTTAAGCATTATTAAATAAATTAGGAAATTAGCCATTGTAAATTACTCCTATATTTGCCTTTGGCCCACTAGACTCAATCAAGTTTTATTTTTATTGGGCACCCCTGGTTAAAAAGAACCCAATACACACTTGCATTTGTGTGATGTGGCTTTATACTCTTAATATAGATATAAATGAGTGAGACATTGCTCATGTAGACCAAGATAATAAATAAAATAAATAATAATAAATAAATAAATAAATAAATAAATAAAACTTTTTGTCTGAGATTAAAAGTTGAGTGAGATAGAAACTGAACTTGTGGACAAAGTAAAAGACATACTATTGTAACAAAACACTTAATATGGGTACTGACAGTTTACCATAGCTAAATACTTAAATCAGATTATAACACTCCTAGTGAGCTACTAGTTTTGTCAATTTTACATGAAATTATAACATGTGTAAGTGAATTCAATGTCCTATATTTTAATTACAAGTATATACTTTTAATCACAATTAAGTGAACATAGGCATTATAGCGCACACACACACACACACACACACACACACACACACACACACACACACACACACACACACACAGAGATATATTGTATAATATTTCTCAAACTGCATGTCATGTTCAGCAATGTCCATATGTTCACTTTATTGTGATACAAAAGATAATATGATTTCCATCAATAGAAAATGAGGGTTTAAGTAGAAGTTTAAGCAATTAATAACACATGATGGAGTATGAAAATGAGTTGCTGTCAAAACTACTGTGCATTTTCTTAAATCCAGTATTTTATTATGCCTTAGTGAATAAATGAAGATGTCTGATTTTTTTTAGAGTATAATTTTAAAGCTGTGATGCATCTCGCTTGGAATACAACACAACATAATCATATACAGACAATGTTACAATGTATGTAGACTGTAATTCAGAAATACAGTTGAGGCAACCTTAAGAATCTGAGCATTCCTCTGCTTCGCTGCTTGACACATCAGAAACTGCTGTTTTCTCTTAGCTCTCTGCTGTTCATAGTGCGCCTCCATCTGCTGCAGAAGTAATGCTCTTTTCCCCAGTCTACACCAGAAAAAAATACATTAATTGATTAATTTTGCTTCGGCTTATTTTCTATTCCAGAGGTCGCTTCAGCGGAATGAACTGCTAACTATTCTAGCATATGTTTTATGCAGCGGACGCCCTTCCTGCCACAACCCAGTAAGTTACTGAAAAATGCTTTCATTAATCTGTGGAGTTTTATAACCCGAAGTGAATTGTGACAATTATAACCAATAAACCGACAACTAAAGTTACAGCTCTACTGTCAAAGAAACAAACTGACTCACATATCCTCGTGTTTCTGGCTGAGCTCAAACTCTTCGACTGTATAAGAAGCCATTTACTGTCGTTTCAGAGAGACAAAAAGAAATAAAAGTCAAACTTTGCCATGTGATTGTAACTTTATGAAAGAAAATATCGCTGCAATATGCAACAGAAACCCAAACTTTGTCATAATAATAACCGCTAGTATTTTCCTGCGATGACGCTCTCCGAAAGCAGAAAAGCCTTGCGTTACCATGACTACCAACTACCACGTGTGCGGAAGTGAGCTCAACAGTGAGCACCACTTGGCAACATTAGAACAAGCGCACCATCTAGAGTTAGGAAGAGTAAGTTGATATTTATTTATTAATATTATTTACAGAGGTCTATAGTCCTTTTAAAGTAGCTTAAGATATTAAGTAAAATGTAGGTTAGCTTAATTGATCTTTTATTTCTTTAACGTTAGCTGTTTTGTCTTGAATGCAAACGTTAAACGTCAAGTAATATGCCGAAAAATGCGCTTTATGAAAAAACAAACAAACAAGGGTTTTACTTCAAGCGAAATTAAAGACTTTTAATGTTGTTATTTTTAATGCTGGTTAAACCATGCTAAACACAAATTTCCATTTGTATTTTGTAGGCTACATTGTGAAATTTGTAATAATACTGTGGTGTTCATGGTAATAATGGTCACGCAAAGGACTGAAACTATCCACAGATTCAGCTGTAATTATGTCAGGCTGTGTCACGCAAATACTCAGGTAATAGTTCTTTCTATTGAAACGAAATTGAAATTGTAAAGAAATAACCTTACGTAAACTTATGGGTTGCCATGTCTTGCAATAATCCAAAACAAATTTGAATCTGAAGAGGAAACCAAACATTAAAAAGATTCACACTTTGATAAATCTCATATATATATATATATATATATATATATATATATATATATATATATATATATATATATATATATATATATATATGTGTGTGTGTGTGTGTGTGTGTGTGTGTGTGTGTGTGTGTGTGTGTGTGTGTGTGTGTGTGTGTACTAAAACCCAACAATCAACTTTCAACAAGAAATGAGTGTTAACTCAAAATTTACTGAATGTCAATTCTACTAATTTGAAAAGAGTTTTGAACTAAGTAAATAAGGTAATGAGTTAATTAAATATCTTATTAATTAAAAGGAGTAAGTTCACAGTACTCAGATAAGTTTTAAATGGTTTGAGTTGCCTTAACTTATTGGGTTTATGTATGTATGTATGCATGTATGGATGTATGTAAGTATGTATGTATGTATGTATGTATGTACACATGCATGTTTAAAGGTCAGGAACATATCAGTAAATTTCCCAGAAGCAAGTACCATGTACAGGCAACGTCATAAACATTATTGTCCTGAAAGGCAAAAAGGCAATTACTGTTAATATTGTCTAGAGGAAAAGGTTTAAAGTTCATTTTAGCTCCATTATAGTCAAAAAGAAACGCCAGTTCCCCTTCGGTTGGGGAACTTCAGTGCCATAAAGTGGATTGATTGAAATCCACGAATGGGAGATTCGGATCAGAAGCTGCTTGTCTGGAGAGTATTGAACGGGCCAATGAATGAAAATTAATTGGCAGCGTAAGCTTGCGCAGGTGTGCGGCATCGGCAATTATCCCAGCATATAAGCACACCTGAAGCTAGCAAACGCCATCCTTTTCGCTTCAGATCCTTTCTGAGTGAGTCGATGAGGGTTCCTCTTGCTGTTCAGCACTTCAGAGCGAACGAGTGTGTCTCCCGGTCCAGAGTGGGTCTTCGCGGCGGCAGACGGTCGAGCTGGGTTTCTCCCTTGCCTGCGGTTCTTTGGGTCCGGTCCTCCAGAGCGGTGCGTATTGTTGCAAACTTTCCTAAAAGAGCAACACAGTCATGCAGCACGTCCTTTTCAGGATGGCGCTCCGACTGTGCGTTTCTGGATGCGGGGGTTTCCTGGCTCCGGATGATGGACACGATCACTGCATTGCATGTTTGGGGGTCCAGCATGTTAATGCCGTGCTCGCGGGCGGTTCATGTCGTCATTGCGATGCCATGACCGTTGCACAGCTAAGATCGCGGCTAACTTTCGTAAGAGAGCGAGCCACCCCAGTTGCCTCCTGTTCTAAAAAAGCAGCGGGCGCTCGGGCAGATCTGAGGGTTCCAGCGAGAGACAATCCGCCGCCCACGGGCTCGCGGACCTCTCGCTCCTCACGGCGCTCCATCCAAGCTTCGGGTAGTGGGAGTGATCCGTCTAACCAGATGGTAGCTCTCACACTCGCTGATACCGAAGATCAGATGTCCTCCGCGGCATCGGAGGGTGGGCTTTCACTGTCCGACGAAGATCCGGACCCGCTCGCCCCCTCCGGGCAGGTGAGCGCCGTCAAATCGGATCCTGAAGCGGACATGTTAGCCGTGCTTTCCCGGGCTGCTTCGGCCGTGGGGTTGGAGCTGGTTTATCCCCCAGCTCCGCGGCCGGACCGACTAGATGGGTGTTACATAGAGGATCAAAAGGCGAAGCCTTCGAAGCCTCTCGTCCCCTTCTTCCCGGAAGTGCACAGTAGGCTCACGCAGTCTTGGAGGGCACCTTTCTCTGCCCGTGCTGCGTGTCCCTCCGCCCTCACCGCCCTTGACGGCGGAGCTGCCAGGGGGTATGAGGCGATCCCGTCAGTGGAGCGCGCTATCGTGGTCAATCTTTGTCCGCGCGGCGCCTGTGCGTGGCGGGGTTTGCCCCGCCTCCCGTCCAAAGCCTGTAGGTTGTCTGCCTCCTTCGGAGCCAGAGCTTATAAGGCTGCGGGCCAGGCTGCTTCTGCTTTGCACGCGATGGCCACCTACCAGCGCTACCAAGCGCAGGCGCTGGCCGAGCTGCACGAGGGCGGGTCCAACCCAAGCTTATTACATGAGCTGCGCACCGCGACCGACTATGCTCTTCGGACTACTAAGTCTGCCGCGTGTGCGCTGGGGAGGACGATGTCCACACTTGTGGTTCAGGAACGCCACCTCTGGCTAAACCTGGCCGATATGCGCGATGTTGACAAAGTTCGCTTTCTTGACTTGCCCATATCCCAGGCTGGCCTGTTCTGCGACACCGTCGGTGAATTCACCCAGGAATTCAAGGCGGTGAAAGAGCAGTCGGATGCGATGGGCAATGTCATTTATCGGCGTGGCCGTAAGCCTGCTCCGCCAACCGAGCCATCCACCTCCGCTGCTCCTCGCCGAGGGCGCCCGCCAACGAGTGCTGCCCCAACCCCGCCTGCGCCTCCGGCCAAGCGGGCGCGGCGTACACCTCGAAAGCAGGCAGCCCCCCCTGCCCAGGGCGCCGTTAAGTCCGGTAAACGGACCGCGAAGCGTCCCTGAGACAGGCCATCCGGAAAAGAGGAAACTTGCTCTTTCCCCGCTGGAGGGCGGGGCCCCGATAACAACGGTACTTTTCAGTGCCACCAAAACATCAATAAAAGAGCACTTTTCCCCTTCCCCGGATGTGACAGCACAAATTCTGCCAGTCCGAGACGCGCTGCCTTCTGGCTCGCAGATTCTACGTGCTTAGCCAGTGGCTCACGAGCGCTGGGGGGACGGTCTCCCTTCCCTCAGCCCTCCAGCCCCCTCTCCGGAGTCAGGGTGCGGAGCCAGAGCGAATCGCTCTCCTCCAGCTCTTCCATTGTAGCGATGACTCCATTAGCGAGGGCTCTGCCTGCCTGGTTAGCGCGGGCCAGCCCCTCACGGTGGCTCATACGCACAATCAGACTCGGTTACGTGATTCAGTTCGCGAAACGGCCCCCCAAGTTCACGGGTGTGTATTTCTCCAGGGTCAACCCCCTGTCCGCCCCTGTCTTGCGAGAGGAGATTGCTGCCCTCCTGGCGAAGGGTGCAATCGAGCCAGTTCCTCCAGCCGAGATGGAGAGTGGGTTTTACAGCCCATACTTCATCGTACCCAAAAAGAGCGGTGGGTCACGACCAATCCTAGATCTGCGCGTTTTGAACCGCTGTCTGCACAAGCTGCCGTTCAGAATGCTCACGCAGAGGCGCATTCTCCAATGCGTTCGTCCTCGGGATTGGTTTGCAGCCATAGACCTGAAGGACGCGTATTTCCATGTCTCCATTCTTCCACGCCACCGCCAATTTCTGCGGTTTGCGTTCGAGGGTCGAGCGTGGCAGTACAAGGTCCTCCCCTTCGGGCTCTCTTTGTCTCCGCGGGTCTTCACCAAACTCGCGGAGGGTGCCTTAGCGCCCCTTCGGCTCGCGGGCATCCGCATACTCAATTATCTCGACGACTGGCTGATTTTAGCCCACTCGCGGGAGCAATTGATTGTGCACAGGGACAAGGTGCTTCGGCATCTCCGCCTACTGGGGCTTCAGGTCAACCGAGAAAAGAGCAAACTCGCCCCCGTGCAGAGGATCTCTTTTCTCGGGATGGAGCTGGACTCGATCACCATGGTAGCGCACCTCTCCAAGGAACGCGCTCGCCTGTTGCTGAACTGTCTGAGGGAGCTCGACAGCAAACTAGTGGTCCCACTGAAGTTCTTTCAGAGGCTCCTGGGGCATATGGCATCCGCAGCCGCCGTCACGCCGCTCGGATTGCTCCATATGAGACCACTTCAGCACTGGCTTCACGATCGGTTCACACACCGGGTCTCTGTTACTGCGCTGTGTTACCGCACCCTCAGCCCTTGGAACGACCCCTCGTTCCTACAGGCCGGTGTGCCTCTAGGACAGGCGTCCAGCCATGTTGTTGTTTCTACAGATGCTTCCAACACGGGTTGGAGGGCCGTGTGTCGCGGGCATGCGGCTGTGGGCCTGTGGAAGGGTGCCCAGTTGCATTGGCATATCAATCACCTAGAGCTGTTGGCAGTGTTTCTCGCTCTCCACCGCTTTTTACCGGTGCTGGAGTGGCAACACGTGCTGGTCAGGACGGACAGTATGGCGGCGTATATCAACCGCATGGGGGGTATGCGCTCTCGCCGCATGTCTCAGCTCCTGCTCCTCTGGAGTCACCCGCGGCTGAAATCGCTGCGCGCCATTCACGTTCCAGGCACGCTCAATCGTGCAGCCGATGCGCTCTCACGACAGCTGTTACGCCCTGGAGAATGGAGACTCCACCCCGAGTCTGTTCAGCTGATATGGGCACGATTCGGGGAGGCCCAGATCGATCTGTTTGCTTCCCCCGAGAACGCTCATTGCCAGTTGTTTTTTTCCCTGACCGAGGGCTCTCTCGGCACGGATGCACTGGCCCACAGCTGGCCTCAGGGCA